GAGGATGGTTAGTGTGGGGAGGTGTGTGGGGAGGATGGGTGTGTGTGGGGAGGATGGTGTGTGTGGGGAGGACAGGTGTGTGTGGGGAGGGACGGGGGTGTGTGTGGGGTGGGGTGTGTGAAGGAGGGACGTGTGTGTGGGGAGGGATGGTGTGTGGGGAGGGATGGGTGTGTGTGGGGGAGGGTGGTGTGTGTGGGGAGGGACGGTGTGTGTGGGGAGGTGTGTGGGGGGGAGGTGTGTGTGAGGGAGGATGGGTGTGTGGGGATGGTGTGTGTGGAGGAGGGATGGTGTGTGTGGGGAGGTGGTGTGTGTGGGGAGACGGTGTGTGTGGGGAGATGGTGTGTGTGGGGGAGGATGGTGTGTGTGGGGGATGGTGTGTGTGAGGATGGTGTGTGTGGGGAGGATGGTGTGTGGGGAGGGGGTGTGTGTGGGGAGGATGGTGTGTGTGGGGAGGATGGTGTGTGTGGGGGACGGTGTGTGTGGGGGAGGGACGGTTGTGTGGGGGATGGTGTGTGTGTGTGGGGAGGATGGTGTGTGTGGGGAGGATGGTGTGTGTGGGGAGGGATGGTGTGTGGGGGGATGGGTGTGTGGGGATGGTGTGTGTGGGGAGGATGGTGTGTGTGGGGAGGATGGTGTGTGTGGGGGGGAGGATGGTGTGTAGGGAGGGATGGTGTGTGTGTGAGGAGAGGATGGTGTGTGTGGGGAGGGATGGTGTGTGTGGGGGAGGAGGGTGGGTGTGTGTGGGGGATGGTGTGTGTGAGAGGAGGGATGGTGTGTGTGGGGGAGGGATGGTGTGTGTGAGGGAGGATGGTGTGTGTGGGGGAGGATGGTGTGTGTGTGGGGGATGGGTGTGTGGGAGAGTGTGGTGTGTAGAGGATGGTGTGTGTGTGGAGGGAGGGATGGTGTGTGTGGGGAGGGTTGTGTGTGGGGAGGGATGGTGTGTGTGTGGGGATGGTGTGTGTGGGGAGGATGGTGTGTGTGGGGATGGTGTGTGTGTGGGGAGAGGATGGTTGTGTGTGGGGGAGGATGGTGTGTGTGGGGAGGGATGGGTGTTTGAAGGGGATGGGTGTGTGTAGGGGGATGGTGTGTGTGGGGATGTGGGTGTGGGGAGGATGGATGTGTGTGTGGGGAGGATGGTGTGTGTGGGGGGAGGGACGGTGTGTGGGGAGAGGTGGTGTGTGGGGAGGATGGTGTGTGTGTGGGGGGATGGTGGTGTGTGGGGGGATGGTTGTGTGGGGAGGAGGATGGTGTGTGTGTGGGGGATGAGTTGTGTGTGGGGAGGATGGTTGTGTGGGGGAGGATGGGTGTGTGTGGGGAGGATGGTGTGTGTGTGGGGAGGGATGGTGTGTGTGGGGAGGGATGGTGTGTGTGTGGGGAGGATGGGTGTGTGGGGAGGGATGGTGTGTGTAGGGAGGATGGTGTGTGTGAGGAGGATGGTGTGTGTGAGGGAGGATGGGTGTGTGTGGGGAGGATGGTGTGTGTGGGGAGGGGATGGTGTGTGTGGGGATGGTGTGTGTGTGGGGGATGGTTGTGTGTGTGGGGGAGGGATGGGTGTGTGTGAGGGGAGGATGGGTGTGTGTGGGGGATGGTGTGTGGGGGGAGGATGGTGTGTGTGGGGAGGATGGTGTGTGTGTGGGGAGGATGGTGTGTGTGGGGAGATGGTGTGTGTGGGGGAGGATGGTGTGTGTGAGGAGGGATAGTTGTGTGTGGGGGATGGTGTGTGGGGGAGGTGTGGGGGAGGATGGTGTGTGTGGGGAGGATGGTGTGTGGGGACGGTGTGTGTGGGGATGGATGTGTGTGTGTGTGGGGAGGATGGTGTGTGTGTGGGGAGGGATTATGGTGTGTGGAGGGATGGTGTGTGTGGGGGGATGGTGTGTGTGAGGAGGATGGTGTGTGTGTAGAGGTGGTGTGTGTGAGGATGGTGTGTGTGGGGAGGATGGTGTGTGTAGGGAGGATGGTGTGTGTGGGGAGGATGGTGTGTGTAAGTGTGTGAAGAGGATGGGTGTGTGTGGGGAGGATGGTGTGTGTGTGGGGAGGGATGGTGTGTGTGGGGGATGGTGTGTGTAGGGATGGTCTGTGTGTGGGGAGGATGGTGTGTGTGTGGGGAAGTGTGTGTGGGGATGTTGTGTGTGTGGGGAGGATGGTGTGTGGTGGGGAGGGATGGGTGTGTCAGTGTGGGGGAGGATGGTGTGTGTTGTGTAGAGATATTTATATACGATAATTCAGTGTTACTCCTACGGTAGTGTACAATATGGCATGTTTACAGTGACGGAGTGTCAGGGTGTGGAGTCATGATGATCTATTCCACTTGGAGAATCAACCTACTGCAGGAGGTTGACGTGTACCGCTCGGCCCTCACTATCCTCTACGACAGACCACAGTTCCTCACCCATGTCGTAAGTCCTCTCATTTATTTCCTTCCAGTTGGCAGGACCACGGCTACCTCTTCCACTAGTTTATATCACCTGATGATTTTTAACTATAGTAATGTTACCTGGGGGAGAGATTTATTTTTACGGGTAACCCTTTATTTTTAGCAGTTATATATGTAGTGTGTGTGTGTGTGTGTGTGTGTTATATAATTAACGGTTTATTAATAAATACAGCAGCCAAATGACACAAGTGGTACAGTACATAATTAATCAGGACATAATAAATAGGGTCATTTTAACAAAAATTCAGCACAGTTACAACACCAACTCAGACTAGACAGAACACACACACACACACACACACACACACACACACCCCAACCACGATACTGACTGTTCATAAGTGTTGCAATAAGACACACATCAGTGATCTCATTAACCATATTTCTACTCACTTACAATTCACAAATTCATGTTGTGTTGTGGCCTGTGTAGTGTGTTGTATTGTGTTATGTGTGTGGTGCATGCTGTATTTCATGGTGGGCATGAGTGTGGTGCGTGCTGCTGTGTTGTGTTGTGAGTGTTGTGCGTGCTGTGTTGTGCTGTGAGTGTGGTGCGTGCTGTGTTCTGTTGTGTTGTGCTGTGAGTGTGGTGCGTGCTGTGTTGTTGTGTTGTAGTGTTGCGTGTTGTGTTGTGCTGTGAGTGTGGTGCGTGCTGTGTTCTGTTGTGTGTGCTGAGTGTGGTGCGTGCTGTGTTGTGCTGTGATGTTGTGCGTGCTGTGTTGTGTTGTGATGTTGTACGTATATGTTGTGTTGTGAGTGTTGTGCGTGCTGTGTTGTGTTGTGCTCTGTTGTGAGTGTTGTGCGTGCTGTGTTATTGTATTGTGCCGTGCTGTGTTGTGTTGTGAGTGTGGTGCGTGCTGTGTTGTGTTGTGAGTGTAGTGCGTGCTGTGTTGTGTGTGTTATGAGTGTTGTGCGTGCTGTGTTGTGTTGTACTGTGTTGTGTTGTATGGTGTGGTGCGTGCTGTGTTGTATTATGTGTGCCGTGCTGTGTTGTGTTGTGAGTGTGGTGCGTGCTGTGTTGTGTTGTGTTGTGAGTGTTGTGCGTGCTGTTTGTGTGTTATGTTTAGAGTGTTGGCGTGCTGTTTGTGTTGTACTGTGTTGTGTTGTAGGTGTTGTGCGTGCTGTGTTGTGTTGTGGTGTGGTGCGTGCCGTGCTGTGTTGTGTTGTGAGTGTTGTGCGTGCTGTGTTGTGGATGTTGTAGTGTTGTGCGTGCTGTGTTGTGTATACTGTGTTGTGTTGTGAGTGTTGTGCGTGCTGTGTTGTGTTGTACTGTGTTGTGTTGTGAGTGTTTACGTGCTGTGTTGTGTTGTACTGTGTTGTGTTGTAGTGTTGTGCGTGCTGTGTTGTGTTGTACTGTGTTGTGTTATGTGATGTTGTGCGTGCTGTGTGTGTTATACTATGTTGTGTTGTGATGTTTTGCATTGCATGTTATGTTGTACTGTGTTTGTATTTGGAAGTGTTGTACGTGCTGTTATGTTGTACTGTGTTGTGTTGTGATGTTGTGCGTGCTGTGTTGTGCTGTAGGTGTTGTGCGTGCTGTGTTGTTGTGAGTGTTGTGCGTGCTGTGTGTGTTGTGTTGTAGTGTTGGCCAGTGCTGTGTTGTGTTATGTGATGTTGTGCGTGCTGTGTTGTGCTGTATTGTGTTGTGAGTGTAGGTGCGTGCTGTGTTGTTTGTATTGTGCCGTGCTGTGTTGTGTTGTGTGCGTGTGTAGTGTGTTGTATTGTGTTGTGAGTGTGGTGCGTGCTGTGTTGTGTTGTACTGTGTAGTGTTGTGAGTGTGGTGCGTGTTGTGTTGTGTTGTGTGCGTGTGTAGTGTGTTGTGTTGTGTTGTAGTGTGGTGCGTGCTGTGTTGTGTTGTGCGTGTAGTGTTGTAGAGTGACATAACTCTAGTCACTGATAAAGGCTTCTGAGGCAAGAATGTCATAATAAAAGGTGTATCAGGTAAAAGCCACATGTATAAACCCATATATCAGAGATGCCGTCACAAAGTTAACGACTTTCCTAACAGGACATACAGGAACTCAACTGATGTAATCATATTATATAATACCTGGAAATGTTTCTATATAGTGTCTGTAGCCTGTAATAGGGACATGTTGACTATATAAGTACCTGTTGCCTGTAATAGGGGACCTGTTGACTGTATATAGTACCTATTTGCCTGTAATAGGACCTGTTGACTGTATATAGTACCTGTTGCCTGTAATAGGGGTGTTGACTGTATATAGTACATGTTGCCTGTAATGGGACCTGTTGACTGTATATAGCACTGTTTCCTGTAATAGGGACCTGTTGACTGTATATAATCCTGTTGCCTGTAATAGGGACCTGTTGCCTGTATATACATTTGCCTGTAATAGGACCTGTTACTGTATATAGCACCTGTTGCGTAATAGAGACTGTTGACTGTATATAGCACCTGTTGCCTTAATAAGGGACCTGTTACTGTATATAGTACCTGTAATGGGGACCTGTTGCCTATATATAGCACCTGTTGCCTGTAATAGGGACCTGTTGACTGTATATAGCACCCTGTTGCCTGTAATAGGGACTGTTGACTGTATATAGCACCTGTTGCCTTAATAGGGACCTGTTGACCTGTATAAGTACCTGTTGCCTGTAATAGGGGACCTGTTGACTGTATATAGCACCTGTTGCCTGTAATGGGGACCTGTTGCCTGTAATAGGGGACCTGTTGACTGTAATAGGGACCTGTTGCCTGCATATAGTACCTGTTGCCTGTAATGGGACCTGTTGACTATATAATACCTGTTGCCTGTAATAGGGGACCTGTTGCCTGTAATAGGGACCTGTTGCCTGTAATAGGGGACCTGTTGACTGAATATAGTACCTGTTGCCTGTACTAGGGGACCTGTTGACTGTATATAGTACCTGTTCGTAATAGGGACGTTGCCTGTAATAGGGACCTGTTGACTGTATATAGCACCTGTTGCCTGTAATAGGACCTGTTGACTGTATATAGTACCTGTTGCCTGTAATAGGGACCTGTTGCCTGTATACACATGTTGCCTGTAATAAGAACCTGTTGCCTGTATATAGTACTGTTGCCTGTATATAGTACCTGTTGCCCGTAATAGAGCTGTAACCTGTTATGGAGCTGCTGCCTGTATATAGTACTTGTTGCCTGTACTAGGGACCTGATGCCTGTATATAGTGTCTGTAGCCTGTAATGAAGCTGTTGCCTGTAATAGGACCTGTTGCCTGTGTATAGTACCCTGTTGCAATAGGGACTGTTGCCTGTATATAGTACCTGTTGCCTGTAATAGGGACCTGTTGCCTGTAATAAGGGACCTGTTGCCTGTAATAAGGGGACCTGTTGACTGAATATAGTACCTGTTGCCTGTAATAGGGACCTGTTGACTGTATATAGTACCTGTTGCCTGTAATAGGACCTGTTGCCTGTAATAGGACCTGTTGACTGTATATAACACCTGTTTGTAATAGGGGACCTGTTGACTGTATATAGTACCTGTTGCCTGTAATGGGGACCTGTTGACTGTATATAGCACCTGTTGCCTATGTGGGGACCTGTTGCCTTGTATATAGTACCTGTTGCTATAGGGAGACCTGTTGCCTGTAATGGGACCTGTTGCCTGTAATGGGGACCTGTTGCCTGTAATAGGGACCTGTTGCCTGTGGGGACCTGTTGCCTGTAATGAGGACCTGTTGCCTGTAATAGGGGACCTGTTGACTGAATAGTACCTGTTGCCTGTAATAGGGACCTGTTGACTGTATATAGTACCTGTTGCCTGTAATGGGGACCTGTTGCCTGTAATAGGGGCCTGTTCTGTAATAGGGACCTGTTGACTGAATATAGTACCTGTTCCTGTAATAGGGACCTGTTACTGTATATAGTACCTGTTGCGTAATAGGGACCTGTTGACTGTATATAGCACCTGTTGCCTGTAATAGACCTGTTGCCTGTATATATACCTGTTGCCTGTAATAGGGGACCTGTTGCCCGTAATAGGGACCTGTTGCCTGTAATAGGGGACCTGTTGCCTGTAATAGGGACCTGTTGCCTGTAAAGGGGACCTGTTGCCTGTCAGTAATCCTGTTGCCCGTATATGTGTCTTGTAGCCCTGTAATAGGGGACCTGTTGCCTGTATATAGTACCTGTTGCCTGTAATAGAGGACCTATTGCCTGTAATAGGGACTGTTGCCTGTAATAGGACCCTGTTGACTGAATATAGTACCTGTTGCCTGTAATAGGGGACCTGTTGACTGTATATAATATTGCAACAGGAACCTGCTGCTGTAATAGACCTGTTGACCGTATATATAGTACCTGTTGCCTGTAATAGGGACCTGTTGACTGTATATAGTACCTGTTGCCTGTAATAGGACCCGTTGCTCTGTAATAGGGACCTGTTGCCTGTAATAGGGGACCTGCTTGACTGTATATAGTACCTGTTGCCTGTAATAGGGACCTGTTGACTGTATATAGTACCTGTTGCCTGTAATAGGGGACCGTTGACTGTATATAGCACCCTGTGCCGTAATGGGACCTGTTGACTGTATAGTACCTGTTGCCTGTAAGGGACCCGTTGACCGTATATAGTACCTGTTGCCTGTAATAGGGGACCTGTTGCCTGTAATAGGGACCTGTTGCCTGTAATAGGGACCTGTTGACTGATATAGTACCTGTTGCCTGTAATAGGGACCTGTTGACTGTATATAGTACCTGTTGCCTGTAATAGGGACCTGTTGACTGTATATAGCACCTGTTGCCTGTATAGGGGACCTGTTGACTGTATATAGTACCTGTTGCCTGATAATAGGGACCTGTTGCCTGTATATAGTACATGTTGCCTGTAATAGGAGACCTGTTACCTGTATATAGTACCTGTTGCCTGTATAATAGTACCTGTTGCCCGTAATAGGGAGCTGTAGCCTGTTATGGGGAGCTGCTGCCTGTATATAGTACCTTGTTGCCTGTACTAGGGACCTGATGCCTGTATATAGTGTCTGTAGCCTGTAATAGGAAGCTGTTGCTGGTATAGACCTGTTGCCTGTGTATAGTACCTGTTGCCTGAAATAGAAGCTGTTGCCTGTGTATAGTACCTGTTGTCTGTAATAGGGAGCTGTTGCCTGTGTATAGTACCTGTTGCCCGTTATTGGGGACCTGTTGCCTGTATATAGTACTTGTTGCCTATATAGTACCTGTTGCCTGTAATAGGGGACCTGTTGCATGTAATGGAGGAGCTGTTGCTGTCATATAGTACTTGTTGCCTGCAATAGGGACCTGTAAACTCGTTATAGGGAGCTGTTGCCTGTATATAGTACCTGTTGCCCGTTATTGGGGACCTGTTGCCTGTATATAGTACTTGTTGCCTGTATATAGTACCTGTTGCCTGTAATAGGGGACCTGTTGCATGTAATGGAGGAGCTGTTGCCAGTATATAGTACTTGTTGCCTGCAATAAGGGACCTGTAAACTGTTATAGGGGAGCTGTTGCCTGTATATAGTACCTGTTGCCTGTAATAGGGGACCTGTTGCCTGTATGTAGTACCTGTTGCCTGTAATAGGGGAGCTGTTGCCCTGTATATAGTACCTGTTGCCGTTACAGGGGACCTGTTGCCTGTATATAGTACCTGTTGCCTGTCATAGGGGAGCTGTTACATGTATATAGTACCTGTTGCCCCGTAAACAGGGACCTGTTGCCTGTAATAGGGGATCTGTTGCCTATATAGTACCTGTTGCCTGTAATAGGGGACTGTTGCCTGTATATAGTACCTGTTGCCTTTAATAAGGAACCTGTTGCCTGTATTATGGGGGGAGCTGTTGCCTGTATATTAGTACCTGTTGCCGTAATGAGGGACCTGTTGCCTGTAATGGGGGGCTATTGCCTGTATATTAGTACCTGTTGCCCGTAATAGGAACCTTTGCCTGCCTATAATACCGGTTGCCTGTAATAGAGGCTGTTGCTTATATATAGTACCTGTTGCCTGTAATAGGGAACCTGTTGCCTATATAGTACCTGTTGCCGTTATAGGGCTTATTGCCTGTATATAGTACCTGTTGCCCGTAATAGGGAGCTGTGCCTGTATATAGTACCTGTTGCCCGTAATAAGGAGCTGTTGCCTGTATATAGTACCTGTTGCCCGTAATAGGGGAGCTGTTGCCTGTATATAGTACCTGTTGCCCGTAATAGGGGAGCTGTTGCCTGTATATAGTACCTGCTGTCCGTAATAGGGGAGCTGTTGCCTGTATATAGTACCTGTTGCCCGTAATAGGGGGAGCTGTTGCCTGTATATAGTACCTGTTGCCCGTAATAGGGGGAGCTGTTGCCTGTATATAGTACCTGCTGTCCGTAATAGAGGAGTTGTTGCCTGTATATAATAATAATAATAATAATAATAATAATAATTAACGGTTTATTGAAAGAGCTTGGCAGCCAGAAGGCTGAAAATATACAGTTACATACCTGGGGAATGGGTTTCGAATTACAAATAATATACAAATAACATAAGTGATATAAATAGGATATATAATAACTAGATGGGGAAAAGCTCAAACTACAGTGCATTTCAACATAGTGACAGTGCAAGGAGTAGTATTTACTGGGAGTGAATACACTGGTTCATTACAGGTTATTGATAATTTTTACAATGGTTGGGACTGGGCTGTTCTTATAGCGATCAGTTCGTGCACGTATGGGCTGGATGCGGTTGTGGTGTCGAACAGCAATTCTCGGGCTCGGGATCTCAGGTGGTAGTAGGAGCCGGTGTTGAGGATGGTGCAGAAGCTTCTTACCAAATTTGCAGATGAGGTCGTGGCGATGGTCAGTGAGAGTCGAAAGGGTCAGTGTGTTGAGCACTTCTTGATACGTGGAGTAGGAAGGGGAGAGAATAATCTTGCATGCCCTCTTTTGCACTTTTTCTAGGTGTTTACGTTGTGTGGCATTTAGGGAGGAAGACCAGGTAGGGGAGGCATAGGTGAGCTTGGGAAGCATGAATGTTGAATAAACACTGAGGAGCTCGGGTGCAGGAACTCCGTGGGACTTGAGTCGGCGGAGGAGGTGGAGACGGAAACTGGAGGCTTTGACAACTTCACTGACCTGCTGTCCGTAATAGGGGAGCTGTTGCCTGTATATAGTTCCTGTTGCCTGTATATAGTACCTGTTGCCTGTAATAGGGGAGCTGTTGCCTGTATATACTACCTGTTGCCTGTACTAGGGGAGCTGTTGCCTGTGTATAGTACCTGCTGCCCGTAATAGAGGAGCTGTTGCCTGTATATAGTACCTGTTGCCTGTAATAGGGGAACTGTTGCCTGTATATAGTACCTGTTGCCTGTACTAGGGGAGCTGTTGCCCGTAATAGAGGAGCTGTTGCCTGTATATAGTACCTGTTGCCTGTAATAGAGGAGCTGTTGCCTGTATATAGTACCTGTTGCCTGTAATAGGGGAACTGTTGCCTGTATATAGTTCTTGTTGCCTGTAATAGGGGAGCTGTTGCCTGTATATAGTTCCTGTTGCCTGTATATAGTATCTGTTGCCTGTAATAGGGGAGCTGTTGCCTGTATATAGTTCCTGTTGCCTGTAATAGGGGAGCTGTTGCTTTTATATAGTACCAGTTCATCATTATTAGATATTTCAAGACTCAACCTTACTTAATTCACCCTAACCTAATCTACCTTAACCTAACGTAATCTGACGTAATCTAAACTAACTTAACTTTTTGTAATTAACCCCCAGCTCAATGGTTAGGTAACGGTTAGGTTGGGGTGGGGTGGGATGGGGTGGGGTTGGATCTGTACGCGCTTGTAATGCACACAGGTGGTAATTTTGTGAAGGTCTTACTTTCACTTTCACTTGTATTCTCTTCGCCATTGATCGGTTTGAGCGGTTGGTCACGTCTCTGTTACGCACTGTTGGCATGCACTGAGCATGCACTGGCTCCTGAATGTACTTGAACCTGCTCCACTGTTGGTCAAGTCTGGTCTTGAAAAAGCTCACACTCAGTGTCGTCACAACACTCTCTGGCAGGTTGTTCCAATAGTTCACAACTCTCACTCCGAAAAAGTTACCCCTCACAGTTTTCTGGACTTGCAGCTTCTTCATCCTAGAGCTGTGACCCCTTGTGTCCGGACGTCTGCCAGCTCCAGGTATGGACATTCGACCGAGTAGTGCACCCCCTCCCCCCAAAATGTTTAGGTCGCCCTTCGCCCGTCTGTAGTATAAGCTGGGTAGTTGCAGGCATTCTTATCTCTCTGGGTAACTGAGGTTCTGTTGAGCAGGCACCAGTCTGGTGGCCCTCCTTTGGAAATTTTCAATCA